ATGATATATCATTATCTTATGATCATAATCATCATTATCATTATTATTATGTTCATATATCATACAATATCATTATAAGTTTTATTATCAATACTCATAACCATTATCATTATCATTATCAATATCATAACCATTATCATTATCATATCAATATCATAGCATTATCATTATAATACTTATCATTTTTGATTATCAGCATTATTACTCCTTATATATCAATAGTATATTATTGTAATTATTATCATTATGATTATCATTATTATCATATTGCTGTCTCTCATCACCATTATCATATTATATATAATTATATAACATAATCATCATCATCAATATTATATCATTATATATATAGGACATGTATATGGAAGTGTATATATCAATCAACAATTGGACCTAACGCGGCAGGGGCCATAGCCGCATCCACCCTTCGCTCCACCTACGAGGATCCCCATGGCAGCCGCAGGCAGGGGCGGCACTGGTCCATGCTCTAGTTCCTAACGACAGGTTTGATCGATTGGGCCAAGCCACGACCTTCGGTCGTCCAACAGGCCTCCTCCACCCAGGGTTGTCACGGACAGAGACAACCCTGAGGGAGATCAACTGCGGGAGTGAGCCAAGGGGACATATAGCCTGAGTTTCCTTTTTTTTTTTGTGGCGATCACGGATTGTGCAAGTACAGGGTCCTGTACCGGTTCTCACGATGTAGTCGTGGTTGGACACATGGTCCCGCTAATGTTACCCATGATCCGGGAAGTATCAGGGCCTTGAAAACACGTGGACTTACCAGGAGTGAACACAGATGCTCCGGTCATTTCGTAGCCTCAGGAGGTGCGTCTCTGATGCGTCTTCAGTAAGATGTGCGCGAGGACCTTGCCTGGTTACCACTGAAGCAGTGTTTAATGTATCGGTTGATTGTGCCAGTCCCACCGATCCACTTCCCTTCCAGGGGTATATATATTATATATATATATATATCTATATATATAATAATATTATATAAAAAAAAAAAAAAAAAATATAAATTATATATATATTATTATATAAATATATTATATATATATTATATAGATTATATATTATATATAATATAATATAGATATATATATATATATATATATATATATATTAAAAGATATTATAATATATATATTATATACATATATATATATAATATTCTATATATATATATATATATATGTATATATACATACACACACCCACACACATAATATATATGCATATATTATAAGTGTGTGTGTGTGTGTGTGTGTATGTATGTATGTATGTATGTATATATATTTATACTATACATTACATACACACACATATCTCTTTGTATTGTGTGTGTGTGCGTGTAAATGATGTATGATGTACACACCATAATGTACACACAAACACACACACGCTGTCCCCCTCCGCGCGCACTTCCTCTCTGTAGCACTCATAGACATAACGGTATTATAATGATTGAAATAAATCGGAAACGAATTTGAAAAAAAAAAATCCGCGTTGCACATAATGTATAACGATCGCTGTTTCAAAGACATCACTTCACTTTAAATAGGGAAAAGCTAAACATAGTACATGGTGGACGGTCGATGTCTGGTGCGAGTTTCAATCGTGGCATTTCGCGACCAAAGACCCCGCGGCTAGTTGTTGTCTCTACAAAAAAATATGTTAAAACCGCTATCACGAACAAGTGCACTGAATACCAGGAACTCTTCTCAGGGGGAAGGTTTCTTCACATCTAGTACCTTTTACCAGCGACGTTGGATTGGGCAGCGTACTGCACATCTATGTTATTATTCACTGTGCAGGAAGCATCTTTTCGTACAGCTGTAGACTTTCTAGCCATGCCGTTTCGCCGATGTCTACTTCTACACGATAAATAAAAACTGTGACAAAAAAAAGGTCAAATTTCAGGCGCGAGGAATCTGCGGAGCTGGTCATGCGTAACATTCGGACGGAGGTCGATGGCATTCTATGGTTAACAGAGTAGGACAGTATACCCATATTGCAACTTGCAATGCTTTTGGCTATGTGAATAGCCTCAAAAACAGTGGCTAAAGTTACCTGCTGCTTCTCGCTGTAACTTGATCATTTGAAAACTGACTCATGACTTTGATTTTAATGGATTAGTGTCTTTCATGCGTGACTCAATGAAGACTCATGACGAGATTATAGGGCTTCCACTTTGATACTGATGCTTCTATTCGTGCTAACAGAGAGACTGTATGCTTATTGCCCTGCGCATTTTAGTTACTCATGATGTCATGTTGTGTAATGTGAAAAAGGCTGTTGTTGTCAGATTGAGAAAAAATGTAACATGACATTAATTATGTTATGTGAATTTGTTACAAAGAGAAATAAAACGTTTGTGCAAGGAAAAAAGACTGATGTGATGTATGCTATAAATTGTTCTGGAAATCATTCAAATCGAGAGATAATTCCTCAAAGGATGAATATTGCAAGAATCAGTAATACAGATTTCTTGTAAATTGATCGCAAGTGCACTGACTAATAAATGACCGGGCTCCCCAAATATGCATAGCCCGGGCGGAGGCTTCTGCTTCGCGAATCAAAAAACAACAACAACAAACAAACAACAAAGCAAAACAAACAACAAAACAACAACAACAACAACAACAAACACAACAACAACTTACTAATAAATGGTGCTTTGATTGTGTGTATTACTGATATTTCCCTGGTGTTGTAGATTTGCAATACCATACACTGTCACAGTCCCAAATATCAAATGTTCTTCTTCATCATTTTTTACTAAGATCACGAGATAACCCCTGGATCCGAATGATGTAACCGTCATATGTGAAACAATTAGGCTAAGGGATAGGTGAATAAAATGCTACACAAAAATGTGGGCGGGGTCATGGGTGATGATGAATATATGGAAAAAAATTTGGCTGAGGATAGGGATGAGCAGAAAGGCCATACGAGAATTTGGCTAAAGGCTGGAGTTACGGCAGGACTCGCCACAAAGCTCTAGGAGGGTGACTAGACTCAAGGGCATTAAGGAAGGGGTTCGTATAGTTCCATCGATAAATTAGTAGGGAAAGTATATATCATTGCTTCAGGAGGCACTACTTCCATGAAAAAATAAAAAATGCATAAATAACATATGGTTAATTACTGTTTTTTTGTTATAGACTACCTAAGAGATGGTTATTTTTGAATAGGGAGTCTCAGTACAAGGAAACAGTGTATGACCATTTGGACATATCATATACAAATATACTTCTTGTAAAATGGCAAAAAAGCAAAAAAAAAAACACTTAAGTATGAAAAGAGATAATAAAACATTGCAATAGGGTTGGAAGGATCTTAACACCACACATGAGTGTTTGTGATGCAAGATCTACCAAGCCACATACCGAGAATGGCCCCCCAAATAAGCGCCTAATGCTGGACCATGCAGGCAGCAAGCTACCCAGATCCAAAGTGTTAATTAAAAACCAAAAGATTCGTGAACTGTAAGTCCCCCAACTTAAGAACATAATGGGGACCGAGAGGCGTTTGGAAGTATGATTTGTTTGTATCGAAAGTCGGTCTCATTACGCTTTTTTCCGCATTGTTTTAAAGGTTTGTTTTACATTAAGAATACTGTAATAAATCCTTGGAACGATATTCGGCCGGGAAATTTGAAGTTTTGCCTAGCATCTTTCAAACATTTTTTGGACTTTTGTACTTTAAAAAATTTGTTTGTATGTATTGAATTTTTCATAAGTAGATGTTCTCAAGTAGGGGACTATCCTGTAATGAAAGTGAATGCATTTTTAAGATGCCAAAAAGAGACTGATTCATTTACTAAATTGATAAGCTAGAATTGATCATCGAACCTCATCCACACCGCCTCAGGCTATAATATCCTCTACTGTTTATACAACACCTTGCATTTTCAAAATACTCTGTTTATTTACCCGGGAATAGCATCATAGCATAATATTTTGTGATGAACAAAATTCCTTGTAATGGTGGTTTATCAGAAATAATAGAAAAAAAAAGTTTTTAACAACAAAGATCACGCATATTTATGCAATGATTCTGTGTTAGAAGTATAATGACTGTATATAAAAGAATAGACAATCTTTTGTCTTTGGGTATTCCATGCATTTAGTACATTAATTTTTCTTACACATCAAACAAAGCAAATATTGAAGATACATATTCATCCGTCATAGTCCTGCTTCTTTGAACTAAAATTATCTTTAAAGAAAGTAATGTTCAAGGGAGGTTCAGATAGTTTCATATAGCGAAAGTGCCAGAATACTGAAACATTACACATAGCTGCTTCAACAAGTGCTAAGTCACCAGTGAGCCAATTATAAGTACTACCTGTCCCACCTGATTTACCGTTTCCTTGATTTTTAAAAATAATTTCTGATATCTTATACTGCTGGTAGTAATGTCTGTAATGCTATAACAATTATGTTTTTAATGAAAATAATAGCATTAATACTCATAGCATTATTAAAAGAAAAGAAAAAAAAAAGTTATTCCCAGCAAGTCAAGGAAAGATGAAATCAGGTGAGGTCACAAGGTCTACTAATTAACTCCTTGTAGCTAAGCACTTGCAGAGCTCTCTATATGCAGAGACATTCCACAAAACAGTACTACAGTGAACACATTTCCCTGGCAATGGTGGCCAACTATAAAACACAAAATGATCTAAAAATTACCAAAGATTAAAAGAGTAAGAAAAAATATCATTTTCCAATTTATCATCCATTATGGCAATAATTAAATGCTTTACTACTGATTCAGCATATATAAAATGCTAGCAAAATTCTCTTTCTTGCCATAACAAGAATTTATCAAAAACACACTATACATTAATCATATTTTGGGTTCATTATCAGCACTATAAATATTTCTAGTCAATATGTAATCAGCTAAAGTAGGCTACATTAGTAATTACAAATGGACATAACCTACATAAACTTTAAAAATTTAACCATTCCTCTGACAATATGCTGGGAACATCACAATCCAACAAAACCCCTTAATTTCTTAAGAACCGCAGAGCCCAAAATATAAGCAATCTTAGGAAAATTGCGCCACAGGAGCCGGAATGTCTGTTTAGCCGTCAGTACAGTAAGGTCCCATGATGTGCTGACTACCTTGCCCTCCCACTTCTCAATTAATGCCCCATCTTCTCCAAGGGAATAATCGTAGGTCTTGAAGATTGGAAAGGAGAAAAACAGACGAGGAATGACCACACCCCAGATCTTTTTTAGGTGTGGAGAAGGCAATTCTACACCTGCCAGAGTGCCAGGTCTTCCATGTATTGGAATTGGTCATTTTGCAGGATGTGGTACTGGTTTTCTTTCCATCCTTGCATCTTCCTCTCTTCAGCATAGGCTTCAATCTCTGATTTCATTTCAGCTGTCCTTGGTAAAGGAGTTTTCCCCTTTTAAGGTTGCAAGAAAGTATTGCACCTGTGAAAAAATATCTGTATATGATGTATATACTACCTGGTGAAGACTTTCTCATTACTATTTCCAATCTTACATAATACAGTAATAAAAAAATAAATATATCCAAACAGCATATTCCTTACTTCCTTAAAATATAGTCCTACCTGGTAGTTTATGAGTGGGAACACAATGATACGAGATGGGATTCCTATAAACCCCATGGTGGGAAAGGAAGCATTGATAATTTGCTTGTACAGTGGCTTTACATAGTTATTCTCAACAGTGATGCCACAGTTATCTTCAAGAAATGGGAAGGTATATTTATAGCCTGAAATGGGAAAAATTCATGCTTATAGGCTTATAAAGTATGAATTTTAGATTATGTTATAAGATTATCTACTGTATTCTGCAACACAATTCTATTTTCAAGTATAAAATTAATACACAGAATTATAGTCAACACATTACCAGTGCAGTATATTATGCAATCTGCTTCTTGGAAGGTACCGTCTTTAAGATAAAAGCCATTTTCCGCGACTTTCATATGCCTGGACCTTGTTTGACATTTGGAGGCAACTCAGAAGGGAAGGGAACTGGGAGGTTGTGAGAAAGAAGTACCTAGAAATAAAACAACTTCAGTAATAATAAGACCAAAGAAAATTACATGTAATGTTTCTCTGTTTATGGATCAAAGTGATATATATTTTTTTAAACTGGAAAACCAAATTCAGCTAAGTTCTGAAAAGTCTAATTCTTCAACAATTTTTGGTTCTCACCTCCTTGGCAACAGTGGATACTTCCATTAAAATATCCAGCCCAGAGGCCCCAGCACCAAGGATTATAACTTTGGAATCTGTGTATGGTGACGGTTCACGATAGTCATGACTATGAATTTGTCGACCTTTGAAATCCTCAATCCCTTCATAAGTGGTTTTTGAGGAGTGGAGAAGTGTCTGTTGAAATTTCACATTACTTAGTGTTACTGCTATTTTAGAGACAAGCATTTCAATCAGAAACATAATTAAGAATGAAGATAAATGGATGCAGGCAATGCATAATATGCAAAGGCATGTCTAACAATTGGAGGAAATAAAAAGTTCATTATTCAGACAAAATCATGCTTAACACTGTCATTTTACCATGACGTGAACTATACATTTCATTTATTAATTATTTTTTGGCATAATTTCAAATTACGTAGTTGTACAAAATAGCATGCAATATAACATGACATAGAGTGGTTTACAATACTGAAAAAAAAAAGAAATCTGTTAACTCAATAAAACATAAATTAAAGTACAGTACGCATGAATTCCAGCAAACCAAGCAACAGTAATATACTATCAATATATTCCCATCTTATCTACTTTAAAATTAAAAGAAAATATGAAAAATACTTTGGAATAAATACCCATTGCAAATAAGCAAGGCATCACAGGTGACTGTACTGACTACATCAGTTGACAGATCTTTCACTGTGACAGCCCAGGATGGAGGCCCTTCATCACTCTCCAATACAGCTACATTCTCAACATTGTGGCCGAGCTAAAAAATTAATATTCATGATTAAAATGTTTTTTCTTGAGGGAATAAGATGTTATATAAGCAATACGTTTGGACAGATATTCAGTGTTGATGTTACAAAAACAAGCAATCTTTCTGTAAATAGAAATAGGATATGCAGCTTGTTTTTTCACATACTGGTTTAATTTCAGTAGGAATTTAAAAAAAAATGTAAACAGATCCCTGTAAAAACAAATAGAAAACAAAAACTGCACAATAAAAGATATTACACACTAAGGTACTCAAAATATTCTTACTTTAATATATGGATGAAGATTGAAGTGATCAGCATAATCTTCCAGGTATTTGAGAACAGATGTGTGATGAACAAAAGATTCTACCTCACTTGGAAAGTCAAAATCCGGGAATTTCATGATCAATTTTGGTAAATCTGTCCTGGTGATGTAAAAAAAAAAAAAAAAAAAAAAAAAAAAAATCAAGATTATAATCAATATACAATTACAGATATCAAATCATTAGGAAAGCATAACAAATACACCAA